CAGCCGCTTCTACGGACCCCGGCTCCACCGCTTGAGAAGCACCTGCTGCAGACACTGCTGCAGCAGCTGCTGCTGCTGCAGTCCTTGTTGCAGCAGCTGCTGCTGCAGTCGCTACTGCAGCTGCATTTGCTGCTGCTGCCGCTGCTGTTGCTGCTGCTGCTGCAGCATTGAATGCCACAAGGCAAGCAATAAAACGCACGCACTGACGGAACAGCTGCGCAAACCCTAAACCCTAAACCCTAAACCCTAGAGCCAAGAAGCTGGCTCTAGGGCTCTCTTGAGGGCTGCGAAGGTGAGAAGCAGCAAATGCGGGCTGCCGCGTCTGCCTTCTCTAGGGTTTAGGGTTTAGGGTTTAGGGTTTGTTGTTTGGCCTTTTGCCCCATAAAAAAGTACTAATACTGATTTATAACATAGTGAGCACATCTTTATTTGCTGTATAAGTTTACCAGTTTATTTATTTATTTCCTCATTTTCATTTATTTACTTTTACTCATTTAGCATTTATGAAGTACATCCCGCGAGGAGCTAGCTAGCTAGCTAGCTAGCTAGCTAGCTAGCTAGCTAGTCACATTAAACTGGCTAGCGCGCTAAATATTGGCTCGCTGCTGCTGCAGCTGCTGCTGCTGTTGTTGCTGCTGCCGTTGTTGCTGCTGCTGTTGTTGCTGCTGCTGCTGTTCAGTCCTCTTCTATTCTCCAGGGCATTCCGTTGATGGCGATGCCCACGTCGCGCGCCCGCAGCTGCTGCTGCTGCTGCTGCTGCTGCTGCTCCTGCTGCAGCTCATCTGACGTTTCGGCTGCTGCTGCGGCGTCTGGGTCCGACGGCTCGTGCAGGTCTGCTGCTGCGTGGCCCCCTGCTGCGGCTTCCTCTTGCGTTGCTGCTGCGTCTGCTGCTGCTGCTGCTGCGTCTGCTGCTGCTGCTGCAGCACGTGCTGCATGCTCCGCTATTTGCTGCTTCCGCTGCTGAGATAATCCTATGTCTTCCAATACCATTCCCTTTCCCTCGGGGACATAAAAGTAAACAAACATTCCGCTGAGGGCGCTGAGTCCGGAGAAAAGGAAAAAGGTACCTGCATGCATGCATTCCCGCAAAAAACCCTAAACCCTATCCCTAAATCCCAAGTCTTAATCCTAACCCTAAACCCTAAACCCTCAGAGTTGGCCCCTCGTTTACTGAGGGTTCCTAAGGCCAGAAGCAGCAAAAGCACGCTGCGCTAGGGTTTAGGGTTTAGGGTTTAGGGTTTGACTTCACACAACAAAAAAGCCAAGACGGCAATCAAACGACAGACAAGTCCCAAATAAACAAATGAATTATTATCCCAAGAAAAGATAAATGATTTAAAAATGAAAATAAAACAGAATTCGGAAAAGTGAAAACAAAACAAAATTCGAAAAAGCGAAAATGAAGCAAAATTCAAAAACTTGAAAAACATGAATTTTCACGCAAGTTCGCAACCACGGCAAATAGGAGGCTGGGATCTTCGGGAGTTTCTATTTCGAATTAAGTAATTAATTTATTTAATTATTTATTTATCTATTTAAGTAAATTAAATAAGTAATCTGAAACACTTGCCCGCTATTGTGATGCAAACAAGAAAACATGAATTTCGATGCAAGTTCGAAAGCAGGGCAAACAGGAAACTGGGATTTTCGGGAGTTTCTAGTGAATGAATGAAATAAATCAACAATTTATTTATTTTAATTAATTATTTAATTAATTAAATCAAATTAATCAATTAATTTGAAACACTTGCCTGCTATTGTGATGCAAACAAAGAGAGGCTCCAGCGTCGACTGCATGATGAAGGCGACAGTCCAGAAGGCGGTGATGGTCAAGCCCATGCCGACGCCGCGGCAGGAGTTGGGAAGCACCTGAAATAAATAAATAAACAAATAATGAATAAATAAATAAATAATAAATATTTAATTGTGAATTTGAATATTAATTCAGTGCTTTTATTTGCTCGCTCGTCCCGCAGAAAGAAAGAACGGAAATCGACGCTCGCCAGCAGCAGCAGCAGCAGCAAGCATATCTAGCAGCAGCATTAGCAGCAGCAAGCATATCCAGCAGCAAGCAAATCTAGCAGCAGCAGCAGCAGCAGGAACATTGATTTGACCGCAGCGACAGCAGTAGCAAGAACATTTGTCAGCAGCAGCAGCAGCAGTAGCGACAACACAACATTTGTCTGCAGCAGTAGCGAGGGCATTTGACAGCAGCAGCAGCAGCAACAGCGAACCTCGCTTGCGACGACAAACATGAGAGCGGCCCAAGACACATTCCAGCAGAACATAAAGACAAGCATGCCAACAACCAGCAGCGTTGTGGGGGTGGTTCCTGTTGCTGCTGCTGCGTCTGCTGCTGCTGCTGCTGCTGCTGCTGCGTCCGTGGCTGTTGCTGCTGCTGCGTGGACATCCACTGTCTTCTGAAGTAAAAAGCCCGACTGAAGGAACAGCGCAACAAGCATCGAGGCGCCCGCGATGAGCCAGAGTCTAGGGCTCAGGGTCTAGGGTTTAGGGTCTAGGGTTGAGGGTTTAGGGTTTGGCGTACTGCAATAACAAGGTGACACACAACAGCCCCGAAGGTCCCGAGCAGCAGCAAAACGCGTCTCCCCAGCTTCTCAACGAGGCACATGCAGCAGATGACTCCCATGAACTGCAGCACACGACGCACGAAACCCTAATTTAGGGTTTAGGGTTTAGGGTTGATTCGGTCCACCCCATCCACGCATCCCAGCCCTCGCCGCGCAGCGCGACCGCCGCGCAACCCGCGCAGCCCCCGCCAACCGCACGCGGGCTCAAAGCCTGGCCGAGGGTTTAGGGTTTAGGGTTTAGGGTTTAGGGTTTGGGGACCTTCATGGCTCCGACTCCCGCGCCCGCCAAGTAAGGGTCTGAAATGCCCGCCATGGTGAAAATGTCTATTGCGAAATAAATCACCGAATTTGCTGCTGTCAGGTTTTGCGCAACGGCGCAGCCAACAGCAGTCAAGATGGGCCTGTGGTGGGTCCGCAGCAGCCGCCAGTACCTGCACAGCGTCTGCAGCAGCAGCAGCAGCAGCAGCAGCAGCAGCAGCAGCAGCAGCGGCGGCGGCGGCGGCAGCAGCAGCAGCGGGAGGCGGGTGTTGGGGTTTGCGGGGAGGGCCCGCCCCGCTTTGAGCTCGGGGGGTAGTTTCAGCGGATTGAAGGGGGTTAGGGTTTAGTGTTTAGGGTTTAGGGTTTAGGGTTTCGAAGGACGGATCTGCGGGTGATTATTGGGGTTTAGGGTTTTGGGTTCGCGTCAACGAATCTCCGGAGGTTAAGGGTTTAGGGTTTGGGCGGACGAATTCCCCACAACTGTGTTCAGGGTTTATCAGCGTAAGTCCGCAAGGGTTTCCTAGGGTTTAGGGTTTAGGGTAAGAGCTAGGGTTTGGGGTTTAGGGCAAAAGCTAGGGTTTAGGGTTTAGGGTTTGTGCGCACGAATCTCCAGGTGTTGAGTTTGACTCCGCGCTGCAGCAGGAGTTCATTCTGGACCCTTTCTTCTTCTTTTTCGTGTTCCTTTTCTTCCAAAAGTTGCAAAATAAATAAATCTATTTCTGCTGCGGTGCTGCAGTACCCCAGCCGCTGCAGACTCCACTTTGCTTCCTCCAGCCTTCCCTTCCCCACCAAAAAACGGGGGCTTTCCGGCAGCACCCAAACCTCCCCCACGATCTGCAGCAGCCGCGAAACAAGGGTTTAGGGTTTAGGGTTTGGGGTTTGGGGTTTGGAGTTTGGGGGGGCTGGGGTTGGGCGCTGGTTTGGCGCCCGCAGGGCGGGGATCACTGGTAAGTTTGTGGCAGTGGTGCAGCCAGGGTTTCTAAGTAGGGTTTAGGGTTTAGGGTTTAGGGTTTAGAGTTTGGCGAACCTGCAGCGCGGCGATGATGCCGGCGGCTCCCATCATAAGCCTCCACGGGACTCCGCCGAAAATCGCAGCGAGAACGTAAGCAAGCATGCATCCTGCAGCAGCAACAAACAACAAGGGTTTAGGGTTTAGGGT